TTATTGGCTGGTAATTCCTGTTTCACCCTGTTCTTAAGCTTTTTTACAGGAATACCAAATTTCTGTAAGAAAGCTAACATCAAGGTGTAATGATAACATCGTATTTTAAAGTTCTGCTGACTTATTGAGAAGGTATTTAAAATACCATTTTGATGAACAATCTGAGCCATCTATACATAGCCAGTACTATAGCTTTCCTGATTGTAAAAATACAAATAACAGCTTTAAATTTTAGTGTAAAAATCTAGTAAATGTTTGAGAAAGAAAAAGTGAAAGGTTTGAAAAATATTTTTCTTAAATTAAATTCATATAAAAATAATCATTAAAAAATATGATTTTAGAGGTGTGTGCGTGTGTGTGGTTCAATTGTAATTTGTACAATTCAAATATTTATTGTAGAAATTCTTTCTGTACTTTCTTTTGTAGTATTTTATTCAAAGCATTTATGAAATTATTTTACACAGTTTGTAAATTTTGTGGCATTCAGGTCCTGATAAACAAGTTGAAATTTTATTGCAAAAAGTTATTACTGGCTTTTTTACTACATTTGTACAATTATATACATACTTGTGATACAAGGATACTTTCTATAAGTGCAATTCAAAACTTTCTTTTTTGTTTCTCTCTCTCTTAACTATAGTTGGAAGGTAATAGAAAGTTACCTTACTGAGCAATTCAACCAGTTCTTCAAGGATGAAAGTGGACTAAACAGAAAAAATATAGTGGACAACAGAGTCCATTGTTGCCTTTATTTCATTCCTCCATGGGGACATGGGTAAGTGTACAGAAGGTTATTTCAGTGCTTCCTATTTGAAAAAAGGCAGGCAAGTGAAATTTTGTACACTCCATAAGACGTATTGCATCCCCCAACCCCTTAAAATGTAACCCTTCCCAAGACAGTTTACATATTTACTGAATCCTAGTTTACACTCAACTGATCATTGTTTTAATAATCTAATAACATTAATAAGTTAATGTTAATTAATTAAAAACAAAGTTACAAACTCAAGAGTCAAGACTAATCTTTCCAGTTTTCTTCAGCCATCTTTGTTATGAAAACAGCTATTGATTTTGTAATGTGATTGGAAGCTTGTGAACATTTATTATCCTACTAATGGTACTTCATCACAATATTCAGAAGGATCTTATAAACATAGCCCTCACTTTCTTTGTGAGACCATTGTTTTTGACTTGTTTGAGCTGTCCAGATCTTTATATTCTAAATTATTTGCTGTGTAAGTATTTCTGCTTGCATGAAAAAAATAACAGTAAATACTTTTATAAAATGATATGTCCTTTGTCTTCACATCATTTGACAACTGGTTTAATTGGCATATTGTTCACTGAGATGGGGAAACTTTAACTTGCCATATGTTGTAGCCAAAATTTTAATTGTAATCTGATTATAAATTAAAAAGCTGATTCTGATTATAATAAATATTTAAAACACGGTAATACCAAAAGCATCTTTAATAAGGACGATTTGGAATTTACTTAAATTTCATCATCAGCATTAATATCTTAAAAAGAATTCATAATATTTGAACTACAAAAAACATTACCATTGAGCGAGTTTTCATATTCAATTGGAAGTTTAGAAATAACAAATTTAAATGGTAACAATATAATGGAATACATGATAAAACATTGTTAAGAAAAACTATTATAGAGAAAGGCTCAGTAATAAGTATAAACACTGTATCTTTAAAATAATAATAGATATCAAATATAAACACTGAAAATCCGGAATTGATTACATTAATGGCAACAGGGAGGAGTTGATGTTATTATTTAGTGTTGGATGGTCATTGAAAATGAGAGGCTTTCTTTAATAAAGAGTTCTTAATCTGTGGTTCTGGAGTCGAGTATTTTAAAGTTTTCTAAAAATATAGGGTGGTTGTTATTCTCACTGTGCAATCGGAAAGAAGACTCTGGTGGATTACTTAGCTTACATCCACTTGCTGAAACTCTCAAGTGCTTGAGTGCACATATTAGTAGGTGATGTGTAGTTTTACCAATATAGGTAGCTTTGCAGCTACCACAAGTGTATTTAAGTACGACCCACAAGCGCAAAGGAATGGGTAGAGTGTCTTTGGTTTTAAATACATTTTTAATTCTAAATGTTGACGTAAATACTAAACGTAGCTTAATTTGTGGGTAATATGTTTGGATTATTTTTTTAATTTGATATTTGAGTTTAAAACTTTGTTTGCCAATGAAAGGAATGATAAGAATCAGTGGATATTTTGAGAGAGTGAGTGACTTTTTGGTAGATTCTATTTTATTTGCTAAAAATTTTTGTGTGATAGAGTGTAAGAAATTAGGAGGATAACCTTTACTTTGTGACATGTGACGATTTTTGAACTTTCTGAGTGAAGACAAAGTAGCCAGAACAGATATTATATGCTCTATTCAGAAGATATAGAACAAGGTTATGTTTGAAGGAGTCTGGTATGAAACTGTCCAAACGAGTGTATAAGTCAGTAAATGTTTTCTTACAGTAAATATAAAGTTTATATATGGATGATGTGAGTTTAGGTATTCTAAAAACTTCTTGGTGTGATCAGTGATGTGAAAGAGTAGGAAAGTAACATCAACGTATCTTCTATATTATACTGATTTTGTAATAAAGGGGTAATTATCCAGCCATTTACGTTCATAATAACATAGAAAACTCTTTGCAAGGGTTGGACCTAGAGGGGATCCCACCACCTCTCCGTCTATCTGGTCATAAAGATGACCATTAAAAATGAAGTGATTGTCATTGAGAGTCAATTTAAGAAACTGTTCGAATTTTTGTTGTATCTTGTAAAAATCAAATTTATAGCATCATTATGTAGGAATAATTTACACATCATTTGTATGACAGTAATCTGGTTTATTGTACATGTATGAAATATTGATACTGAAATGAGACTGTTTTGAACTTAATCGTTTTCATACAAGATGATTTCAATATTATGAATATTATGACTGATCAACCATGGACCCTATAATAAGCATTAAGCTTGTTATACGGGGGTCTATTAGGCATTCTACTGGCCAATTTGCATGAAAAATGATTATTTATAAAGAAAGTATTGATTAGCTAATAATCTACAACTGAAATACAAAACTAGAGATATGCTCTTTATTCCTATTATTTCTGGCAAAATCCACCAAATATTTGCCAGTGGAGTTCTACAGCAAAATTGCCAGTTATAACAAGCCTGCTAATCTTGATATAAGAGTTGTAAGTTGAGTTTATAACAGTGCATTATTATGCTACTATACAACCTGATGACCTACGAGTTTCATACAATACTGATTCTTGTAGCAAGTGTAGCTGACAATTTTTATGGGGAAGAAAGTTTCTTTGTCAGGTAGGCCTATAATAAATATGAATATCAGCAAAAATGAACTACAATTATTATGAAATAATAATGTAATCAAATTGATATTTATATAAGTGGAACTAAACTTTAGTATATTCTTTTACTCGCAGATCCACTTCCCAAGGATTGTTCATTATTAATCAGTTGGGCACTTTAAATGGCAAATGTTGATTCAATATATATGTGTGTGTAAAAGTGCTCATGAACATCCTTTTTCTTATTTTTCCATGCTTGCAGAGTGACCAATAAATGCATAGTTTCCAATATCTTGTAACGTACAGTGAGGTTTTGGTTACCATATATATAGTGACAGTTGCAGACATCTGCAACTTTCTCATTTAAGAAGATTTACACTTTTGGCATCCACTGGCTTGTCTCTTCTTTTCTATCATTATTTATTGTTTAATGTATGAAGTCTACAGAGTGTTGTCAGCTTTAAGCAATAGGCCTAGGACTTGCTCAAACTGTGCTGTAATTTCATGATTTTTCTCAGATTTTTATACAAAAGATATAGGTAGGAGATAATAGTCAAGAGAGAAGTGTGGTGCTGTAACTTGTATGTATGCCTTCATAGCACACAGTCATGTTCATTCATGCATGAACAGATACACAAGTATCTAGGCCTATACATAAAAAGTTACTGGAAATCCTTGTTTATTGCATAAGCAAAATTCTAAAAATAAAGATCAGTGGCTTACAGAATGTCATGCATTTAGCCATTTAAAACACTTCCCTCAAAAGGCTATGAATGTGTTTAATATTTACCTGTAGCAAGGCCTGCAAGAATAGGGTATAAATATTGGATATATATTGTAGGTTTAAATCTGTTCAGTGTTTTATTATAGTGTTCTGTGTCATCTTGGCCATCCGAGATACATAAATGAAACTGGTTTTAACTTACAAGCATAGGTTTCAATGTTTCTAAGTGGTAAACTATAAAATTTGAGGAGACACCACTGCTTGAGTCCTAGGGGGCTAAGTGGGATTTTGCCCAGCTGCCTGGTGGATCAGTACACTACTGATTAGGAAATTAATAAAAAAATTTGCTTATAGGGTCAGAGTAACTCTTGAGCAATTGTTAACATTTAAAAAGTTTAATTGGGAGAATCAAAGTATCTTTGTACTGAAACAACTAAGGGGGTGAAGTGTTGTTATTTAGTAATTTTCAACGTCTAACCATTTATTTTTTAGTTTAATATTAACTTGGTAAGTGCATCATCAATAAGAATCATCCCTTTGCTCAGGTATAGTGCATGTTTGTAATGAAATTTAGTTTGTAATTATATATACATTCAAGTTATTAACATAATAAAGATTGACTGTTTGTGTTTCAGTTGAATAAAGAAAAGTTGATAGACAGTAAAATCTATTTTAAATTCTCCACTGTTAATCATAATTAGCACATTTCCAGAGGAACCCATGGTGACCACATTTAGGCATGTTCCAGTTTCATGGTTGAAGGAAGTTTAGAACTAGATCTCGCATACCACTGCTTATTAGTTTGACTTAATATTCTTTATAGCACTTTGATGGCTTGATGTTGGTAACTTTACAAAAGTAACTAAATGAGTCAGTGTTATTTGTAATTTTATTCAACTATATTAAAAGTGGAACATATGTTTAGTGAACTTCTTATAGTGCCTTCAGTGAAACAAAGTTTTCTATTAATACTTTGTTATCTAGTTTGTATGGTTTTAGTTTTGTTTTAACTATTTTTAGAACAGTTTAAGATTAATATTACAGCTTATAAGATTATAATCTAAATATTCAAGATATAGAGGAGAAAAAAAAAAATTGGTTCATATTTTACTTGTTTCCTCATATTTTGTATTGTAAAGATAGAATGTAGAAAAGTGCACCTGTAAGACTTATTAAGAAGTTCAGGACTACTTATATTAGTTTAATTATTGTCTAAGTACAACGATCTTTATTAGTATATCTGTCCTTTGCTTTGTCATAAAGCTTCCAATGTGATTAAATACTGGCTTTAACCTTAAAAACAAAAACTTTGTAGCAAACATTCTAGACTATGTACTTTTCACCTGTGCACATATTTTATCTGTCTTTTATTGAGGGATATTACTTATTCAGACAATCCTTTGGATTAAAAAATACTTTCCTTGAGTATCTTTATATTCTTACAAACTTGTTAGTAGCTTTTAATGTAAACTATTTTAAATGAAAGTATGTAATCAGTGCTACATTGGTTGTCTGAAGTTGGCATTTTTCAGAAAGTGACTTTTTTTAAAAATTGCTGAGAACTTTTGATTACCTCATAGCTTCAAAACTTTTAAATTGGCTTCAGGAATTACAAACTTTTCATAAATACATAGATCTGAAACGTCTATAAACTTGGTTGAGGATTGCCAGCTTGCTGTTTTTGAAATTCCACTTTTTTTACTACCAGCCTGCGTCCTTTGGACATTGAATTCATGAAGCACCTGCACCAGAAAGTAAATGTTGTTCCTGTGATAGCAAAGGCAGACACACTTAATGCGAATGAAATTCGTAGACTAAAAGATAAGGTAAGGTTATATTTTGACACACTAGCTAGATAACCTCGGTTTGTAGAAATGTTATGTATTAATTCTTCAATTCCAGATTCTAGTTTGTTTTGAGATTGGCTAAAAATCTGACAAAAGGAAAAGGCTATAATTAACTCGTAAATATAAGCTTGCACAAGCTCCAAACTTACTCTTAAAATTTCATTTTTAAGATGTTATTCTTTACAAAAAACAATTTAATGTTCAATGATGTGTATTTTATTGGGATATGCATTAAGAAAACAGTTATGTAACTTCTATACAACTTTCATTACCCTTTTCATTTTATTTAATTAAATTCAAGAAAACAAAATAGTTTTTATGAGTTAAAATTTAAATAAACTCTAACTATTTTTCACCAACTTAAAAAAATATTAGTCTACAAATATTTTGAAGAATAAAAACAAAATTAAGGCTGTAACAGATGATAGATTTTGACCATCGAAGGCTTGAAACACCTTATCAAACAAAGGCTTGAACCTTTGATAGTACAATTTTGCATAATTTACCGATGATGTTGCCATAACTACTAGTTTATATTTTATTTGAAAAGTGCTTTCATTTTTGCAGCTAATCCAAGTAAATGAAATAAAACATTTACGTGTAGTTTGAAAATACAGTAATCACATTTTTATATTTTAGATGATAAAAACAATGCATTTTGTTCACGTACGCATACTTGATGGTATGTGTAGTACTAACATAGCTACATACAGTAAGCTTGCATTGCAAGAGCACTCTCTTGTGGCCAATAAAAACAACTGAAACTGCAAAATTGTACAAAACAAATCTTTACTAAACAGCCACTGTTCTAAGTAGTTTAACACACACACATAGTATTTTTATCATGAAATTGTTGATTAATTGAACATTAAAATTATTAGTGTTAGCATATATTTTATTCTACCATAGTACTTGTTAAATGTTGTATGCTAGGCATCCAATACATTTTATTAGAGTAGTGGAGCCACTAAACATACCCACCTGTACTTCACATTAATGGTCTGCTCCAATGCATAAAAATTAGCTGCTAGGTTTAACATTTTGGTGGTGCTTATAGTACAGAGACTTGTCTGTAAGTAGTGAGTATTAAGCAAATTAAATTTTTCATGTGAGTGACATTTAATGTGTTATTACTATTCAAACATTTTCAGTTAACAACAGAATAAAAAAATTGACACTGCTTGAATGCTGTTTGATGAACCTTCAAATGCTTAGAACTACCTTAAAGCTTAACTAGTGAACAGATCTCCAGACACAGCCCTAAAAAAGCTGTTACTGAAGAAATTTATTGAATAACATTTAAGAACAACAATAAATGGAAATACTACATTTTGATTCTCTTAGAGTCGTGTACATAAAGACAAAACAAAACTGTCTGCTTGTCAGCAAAATGATCAGTTGTGAAGAGTAGAGAAATGAAGGCAAAACACACCACTTGAGAAGACAGGAATTGAAAAATAAAATGACAAAAATTTAACCCTTGTAATGGAACAGAAGAGAAATATACAAAATTAACTGACCACTTGAGAAAATGATCTTATAATGATGAAGGAAAGAAACCAAAGATAAAATGAATTCTGCAGAATACCTTTTAGCTTTTTTAACTAATAAAACATAACAATCTTGTGTTATTTAAAACCTTCTTTACAGTCAAACTTGAGTCACAAGTATATTGAGACTGTGTGTGTGTGTCTCTCTCTCTCTCCATGTGTGCTAGATCTGTGTTGTTTGAGTACTTTAAAGTGCTCTTTAGCAAAAGCTAATGAACTCATCCTGTAATTCACTTGAAAAAGATCTCTTGTATTTTGTTATTTCAATGAGTAGGTTGTATACTATTGTTGTTTGCATTTGTTATATAAATGTCAGCTGTTGTATTCTAAGAGATGTGAACAACTACAGATTAGAGTCCCAACTGTGACTAAGGTCACACTGGGTTGGGTTTTAAAGTGGTGTTGTTCGCATCCCCTAACTACAACAGCTAACATTTCCATGTGGTAAAGTCACATTTTGATGGGGCTTTAAACTGGTGTTCATATCAATTTTTAAATACAACAGCTGATGTTTCCATATGATGTGGTAAAGTCACATTTTGATGGGGCTTTAAACTAGTGTTCTTCAAATCTTTTGGAATACAACAACTGACATTTCTGTGTGATTTTATAAAGCCATATTGTAAAATTGTTGGTAAACTCCCCATAATACCTTAAAAGAATGGAAAACTTGGTTATAATTTTGAGAATACTTTTCATGTTTCATTATTATTGTGATGATATATTCCAGTTAAGTAAGTTTAAGAAGTAACTATAAACTGTTATTTTTGGTGTAAAACTTTTATTAAAGGCACCGTTTAATTAATGTTGTCTCTAGGTTCTTCGAGAACTAAAAGAGAATGAGGTTCATGTTTACCAGCTACCTGATTGTGACAGTGATGAAGATGAGGAGTTTAAACAGCAAGATCATGAATTAAAGGTGAGACAGTTGATGTTTTTATCAATATGTATCTGTAATATCTGATAATTATAAGCAAAGAAACTAAATAAGACATTTCTTTAGGGCAATAAAATCACATTAACTTAAAGAATAAACCAGAAAGAGATGCTTTCATTGTCTAGTTCCATATTTCAGTCTCAAAATATAAAAGAATTCTACTGTTATGTTAACAGCTGGGTTGTATATTTAATTCTAACCTGAAATTCCATTACAAATATACACTGGACTTAAAAAATTACCAAATAACAACCCCCCCCCCCTCTTGTTGTTTCAGCATAAAGAAACTTTGATTCTCCAAATTAAACTTTTTACATGTAAACTGTTGTTCAAGAGTTACTCTATTAATATAAGTAAATTTTTATTAATTTCTTAATAATATTTATAAGTCTTGAATGCACCAGACATCATTTGTTAAAACCCAGAAATTCATCTTCCACTGTGTACATCTTGTATACTTTGTCTGAGCTGTGTAACTGGCTTAGAAGACCATTATCACTGAGAGAAGAGTCAATGTTACTCAGAAGCTTACTGATGACATTTATAAAACATCCAATACTGTTATTTAAGTTGTGTAGTACATTAATCATCATTTAAACTAAATATTATCATTCCTAATAAAGCCAATCATCACAGTTCCTTAAAACATACAATCCCAAACATGAATTTAAAGGTAAATTCAAATAAAAAATAGATGGCTCTATACAAAAATCCAAATGTGTTACATTTAGAATCTGTTTTTAAATTTACAGTCAAATCACAATTAATATTTATGTTACCGGTAACATATGGCAAGTTAAAATTCACTATCACAGTGAACAATTCATCAGTTATATTGTAAAACCCATTATTAATGTAGTAAAAGAAAGTAAATACTTTTTTTCATATAGGCAGATATTGATGTGATTTGTAGGCTCATATGTGAGATGGACTTGTTACAGTAAATTAATATATGATCTTGGTAATGATTCCAAAGGGTTTGTTGGAATACAATCTCCTTAACTTTAATAGTGCTATGAAACTCGCACTTTTTATATTGTTGAAATTACTGTATCTTTCTTTCAGTGGAAAATGGCTATTTTTGTTTGATAGTTGAATACAGTTTTATCTTTTTAATAGATTCCATTACATATTTTGTTGTCAAATATGTCATTACAGAATCCAGTTTTTAGTTATTGTATTTTATATGTTTCAGCAAAGTATCCCATTTGCTGTGATTGGTAGCACTCAGGTTGTGGAGGTAAATGGACGAAGAGTTAGGGGGCGTATTTACCCCTGGGGTATTGTAGAAGGTAAACAGTTGTCTTGATATAACTTTTGGCTTTTTAAATAGGAGTGCCAAACTATTGATATCAACAAGTAGACTTCAAAAGGTGTATATACATCATAACTACAGTCAGGGTCACCATGAATTGGTATGTGCCCCAAGTGAATCATATTTGAAATGATGCCACATACATAAGTGATCAAAGAGGCAACAAACATTCTGTACACATTTTTTCCCTATTTTTATGCCCTCACCCCCACCCTGATTGACAGTGGGCCCTGGGGAAATATCTTTAGCCTCCCCACCCTCTCAGTGTGCTTGATTAAAGTCATGAAGAAAGGAGTCATTGTAAGACATCCACCATAGTATCTTTAGAAATAATTTCATGATATTGCTCTTTATGGTATACTTCCTTAAGTAACTAAACACAAACCCCTGCTTAGTGACTAAAGGTGTCCGATAATCTAGATTACCAGTTCTTAGCTAGCAATACAGATACTCCTAAAGATATACAATAAAGGTATGTGAGCTAATCTTATTAATGATGAAAAGAATAATTTATAGTAAAAATTGAACAGAAATAATACTGTAGTGATAACATAAGTTTGTTAAGTTAATAAAACTGTCAGCTTCTGTGATTGGTTCACTTACAGTCTTGATTGTCAGTAATGGTTTGAGATTCTTGTTTTTTGTTTTCTCATTGTAAACTGCTTGTATTCAGTGCAATACATTTTGACTGTGTTATAATGAAAATGTAAAAGTAGAGAGTGTGAATGAACAACTGCATGATAGTGCTGCTAGTGATAATATTAGTCATACTACAGAGGTGGGTTACTTAGATGAACAAGGGTCATTTTAGGCCAAAAAGGTTGAGAACAATTAATCCAGAAACAATACTTCTTAAATCTTCTCTGAAGACTTCAGCAGATTAGCAGCCAAAATGTAGGATAAAAACAAGTTAGTAATTAATATATAGTTATACAAGAAAAAAAAGATAGTAGTTATTAAACTTGGGTGATCATATAGGGTACTAACATGACAGTGATTGATATCTGATTGACACAACCTTACCGTATGTGCTTAAGATAGGAATAATTGTTTTTTTTTTATTATCTCTGTCACTGCTGCTAACTCTTATTGTTATTTTTTGTCTCTCCTGAAGCTTTTTTTCATGAGCAACCATGATTATAGATTATATTTTAATTGGTGGTGCTGGAATAAATTAAAATAGTTTCTCGATTGTTCTTTCAAATCTTTGAAAACATTATTTAATAAAACAGCAATTTTAGTACTAAACGTATACTGTTTATCTAGAGCATAAAATGTCTGCATGAACTGGGGATTTTATAGGTGATCCTTTAGTGTAAAAGGTTCTAAGATATATTTTACAGTAGTGAGGATGCTATAAAAAAATGTTGATTCCAGGTTTAAAGGGAAGTTATTCGTGATGCTTTTAGCACATCAGAATAGTGGAATAGCAGTTGTTAAAGTTTGGAGGTGATGAGAGTGATGGTATCCTGGAACATTTTTCAATTACCATTTCTTTCACTCCCAAATGTATGTACTTTATTACTTTTTTTCAAATGTATTTGATAAAGATGGTTTGATAGTACTTTACTGAAGATTTATACTTATTTTCAGTGGAGAATCCAATCCATAGTGACTTTCTTAAACTACGCACATTTTTAGTCAGGTGAGTGGTATATCTTTAAGTGTCCATTATAAATCATTTTAAAAATAAAAATATTTTACAGTGTATCTGCCAGACTTATCTAAATAGAAATTGACCTAAAATCACAAATAAATTTTCTAAGATATTTAGAAATTGCCATGAACTTGTGTTCTTGAATGCTTATATTTCTTTTAAGAAGGATGTTTCTTAATGCAATACAAAAATAAATAAAAGTGAAGTAATGAATCTAAGGGCAGGTCATATAGGATTTTTATTTGATTAACTTTACTTAATAGTTGTGCAAATATTGAAATGGTTTTAACTTAAACAGCACCCACATGCAAGACTTGAAGGACGTAACTCGAGATGTGCATTACGAGAACTACCGTGCTCAGTACTTAACTAAGATATCTCAGCAAGCATCACGAGAAAGAGGGTAAGTGACACATTCTAGTTAAGAGATGATGGATCAAACAAAAATTTATTTAAATTTAACTTTTATGTAGTCCATTTCTTCTTGATTCATGGCTTAGTGATTAGCATGCCAAAACTGTGAATCAGGGGATTGGTGGAGGGTTCCCATTTCATTAATGCAAAAATGCTGCAATTTGGGGTCATAGGTACGTTATAAGAGTAGTTGGCAATGGGTGCTGTTGACTAGTTGTCTTCCCTCTAGTCTGTAAGTTCAAAATTAGATATCGCTATACACAGATAGACTTTGTATAGATGTGCTTGTAAATTCTAAAACAAAGAAATAAACATTTCATTTTGGTAAGCTGTTTATCAAATTCATCTTTCAGTTACTATTGCTTTTAAATGAATATGCATGAGATTGGTCCATTGGACTGGCCACATACAGGAGAAGGAATGTTGACTATAATTCCAAACTTACTGGAAGTATCTACATGAAATATAACAAGCTTTTAATAAAATGTACAAGTACTTTCTACACACAAAACTATATATGTTACAAAAGTATTCGTACACAAGATATGTCTGTGAACTGATGACATCAGTCTGACCCAAACTCTTGATAAGTAGGAGTGCAAGAGGATATTCATGTGAAGAATAGAAATACTTTTGTCAGTCATCCAGTTTGTATTTGCATAATCTCTAGAACCTTCGAAATACATATCTACAGTTTCTTCGGTATCCCTATATATTTTTTCTGGTGTTTATTCTCTTCCACCAAATGTCGCTAAGTCAACAATGTTGAGTGAAAATTTTATAGTTGATAATCTGACATCAAATACATATCTACAGTTTCTTCGGTATCCCTATATATTTTATCTGGTGTTTATTCTCTTCCACCAAATGTTGCTATGTCGACAATGTAGAGTGAAAATTTTATAGTTGATAAATCTGACATCAAATACATATCTACAGTTTCTTCGGTATCCCTATATATTTTATCTGGTGTTTATTCTCTTCCACCAAATGTCGCTAAGTCAACAATGTAGAGTGAAAACTTTATAGTTGATAACTCTGACATCAAATGCATATTACGATGCCGAATGACACTATAAAAGATCATGCCATGAACACTTGAACCATCGCTCTTGTACATAGGGTTTATGTATACCATTTTTAATGTCTGCATTATCCAGCTTACCGTGTTGTTTTATCTTTTCTGTTATTAAACTGATATTCTATTGGTTAATTGTTCTAGATGATACTGATTTTGATTAGGTAATATTGACTGTTATATTGATGGTTTTTTTGTATAATCTGTTGTATTAATATTAATTCGTTATCCAGCTATATTGTATTATGATGTAGATAATGTTTTCAGTATTTATTTAAAATTGCTACTCAGTCAAAGTAGCTTTTATTTATTTATTTCATTGTATCAGTAGTATTTTCACAATCTAAAATCTAGTTATTAAGTACTTATTTAATTTATTAACCAGTTAAGATTTTTTTAGATTTAAGTGAATCTAATGTACTCTGAAGGATTGGAAACATTATTGGAGCAAACTTTTACTTTTGTTTTTTGTGTAATTTATAATTAAATGTTCAGAATTATGTAAGTGGTTATGCAACTAATATTAACATTTTTATAACTTAATTTCAGTTATTTTTGTTTTAATCTAGTTCATTATGCAGATAATTTTTTTTAAATATATTTAAATTCTTTGTTAGTTTATTTTTACCTGGTATTTTATAAAATCCATTTATTTGTTTTTGTTTTACCAAATCACTTTTTTATAGTCAGTAATATTTTTATTTACATAAAACTTGTATTTTAATAATTCCTAAGTGTCACTTGTATGTAAGGTTGAGAGCATGGTTACATGTATTGAACATTAATTAATAATAACATAAAATATGGGTATCAAGGGGCCATTTCAGTGGTGTAACTACAAAAGATGCTCTCCCCCTCTCTGTATAAAAAGAAATTGGTCTCCCTACATTTATTTCCCTATAATTGTAGTTATGATTTGGGCCCTCCTGCAACTGTGGGGGCTGTGGGGACATATGCTACAAGACCATTTAGTGCTTTAAGGCAATCCCTGTGCATCCTAAAAATAAAAACTTAAAACCACCTTTTATTTTCACATGATTATCTATTTTTCTTTTAAACTTGGACCAGGTATGGCCTGGTGGTTAGCATGTCAGGCTTTGAATCTGAGTCCTTGGTCAACATCCCATTACTACAAAATTGTGCTCCACACATTGGGGGCTGTGGATGCACTGTAAAAATAACAGAAAAATACTACTAATTGATTAGAGTTGCCTCGATGTTAGCAGTGAGTGTTGTTGACTGGCTGCCTTCCTTCTAGTCTATCAGTTCAAAATTATGGATAATGAATGTAGTTAGTCCTTGTGTATGTTTGTGTGAATGTCTGAAACAAATAATTTCAAATACTTTAAAAGTGCTCATACTACTGCAAATGGCAACTCATTCTATAAATCAACCACCCTGTTATAAAAATAATGTCTTAATTGGGGTCTAACATACCCTTTTTTCCAAATCAAAAACTTTTATCCTCTTGTCCTTTTATCTTCAGAACATAGCACAAAGAAATCAGAGGCCTTTATCCCCTCAAAAATCTTGTAAACTTCAATAAGATCACCTCTTAGCATTCTTTCATCAAGAGACGATAGGTTATCTTGACAAATTTGCTGCTGCATAATAAATTAAGTATAAAAAAACTAGACATTCAAGAGGTGCCGAGGAGCAGTCACAGTGTCCCAAACTTGTATGCCACAAGAGAAGTTTGGTTTTGAAACATAATTGTCTGTGAACCACTGGTGTGTCACACAGCTCATAACTAAAAGTCAGTTGTGACCCACCAGTGGGGCAATTTATCTCCATAAGATAACCATTTCATCCCTGTGATTATCCAGTGTAATAGTTTGTATTGTAAAAAGTGCTAGTGGTTAACCATTTAGCTGAGTTTGTAGATCACTCACCTGGTATGTGATAGGTCTTGGGATCAAAGCTGAGGTGAGGAAATATATATGTATTGTGAAAAACAAAAACAAATTACCACCTCAGTGCCAAACTAGTGGCCATGCTATAACCCTGAGCATGGGCCTTATTTGTAAGAGGTGAATAATATAGTACTTTGAGTTTTTAAAAAGAGACTTATTAGCAAGGGTTAGTGAGTTAACCCTTTAGCTCAGTTGGCAAAGAACATTCTTGGCATATAACAGGTCTTCAAAGCCAAGGCAAGAAATTATATATGTATCACAAAAGATATAAATTACCACATTAGTAGCCTTCCTCTGAACCCTTTTGTATAATTCTGTATCCTTGTATTCAGTGTTATTCTTTTCTTCTTTTTTAGGAATGTGCCTATCGTGTATTAAAAGCAATTAATTTATTTTTGAGATTACCCATGTCTGCTTTACATCACTTTTTAACTCATTTTTCAGTTCACTATTGATAAATCTTTTTCCCAATGCCTCAAAATTAGCTTTCTGAAAATCAGGAACTCAAATTTCACTTATCTCAACATGTAACAAAACATTAGACCTAATTATGCAATGATCGTGCTTCCTCGAATATTTCCTCACCTCAATCTTGCAGTCGTTAACAATATAACTAAAATTACATCCACTCTAGTTTGGTTCTCTGTTCATTTGTTATAGAAAACCATCCTGAATCATTTCAAGAATTCTTTCCATCACTACTCGACTCCATACAATTCCATTCATTCTGTCTAAAACTAAGTCTCCAATAACTATTGATCAGATTATATAATTTCTTGTTAATATTATCTGTCTGATAAGGATGCCTATAACAGTTGTTAATTAAAAACTTTCTATCTTTGAAAACTCCTAATTATAACTCGTATAGATTCATCTTCTTGTCTACTGTCTTTGTCTTAATTTTCAACAGGATGTATTTCATCCTTTATATAAAGAGTCACACCATCCATTCATTTAAAAAAAAATATCACTATTACATAACTTGTAACCTAGAATTTCAAAATAATTCATATTATCAATATTCTTCAAATATAACCAAGTTTCAGTGATCCCCATTATATCACAGTCTTCTATTTCAACTCTATACTTATCTGTTTTGTTACTGATTTTCTGTTATGAGAATAAGAGCATGTAAGCTTATCTTTTAAATCTTCTTGACTTCACTTTAGAAATGCTATTATAAGAACATCTGCATTTGCTATATCCAGTTCTGAAAATGCCCAATGTTAGGGCTCTTCAGGCTAATTGGGATACCAATGTTGTGTTAATGGTTGAGATACTATTTATTACAATAAATTGCTTGACAATTACTGTTACAGTGTGAGCTAAATTAATTAAGTTGGTAAAGTGTGATCTTTATGGAACTTGTTATGCTCTAAATCTTTTTCCTGTCTCCTCATTGCCTTATCTAGTTTATCAGTTTGTTTAATCCACATTTTCCAAGCTCTCTTGCCACTATATAAGTCCAGTTTAAAACTGTATTTAATGAATTTCTTTAGTTACATAAAAATCTTGCTATGTAGCCTGTTTAAGTGGAACCCATCTCTAGCATATAATTCACCCTTACTCTGAAAACCATCCTGCAAGTCAACAAGTCCACCTGATCTTTTAAATACTTTTCTGTTAGTATTTCATATATCTTGCTAAGTAATTCATTCCCACCTAGCCTGAAGGAGTATTCCCAAAAGAGTCATGTCTAACCTTAAATCTCTAAAAAGGGTCTTTATACTTTTTAAGCTGCTTTTCTGATTTGCACTTTGTAGCATTATTTATTCCTACATGCACTACAAAAAAACAGTATTCCTTGGTACTAGAAACCAAACTCTCAACAGATTGTATAATGTCCTGTATTTAGTACTTAGCAAACAAATACTAGTCCTAGTCGTTTTATGCTTCCCACTGCAAACAACTTTATCAGTATTTAAAACTTTAAACAATTATATATGTATATGAAGAAAGTGCCAAAATTCAGCCTTTTATATTGTGAACAAGCTTTTAAGTAACCAACTGTTACTATATTGTGTATCTTCTTCCTCCATATATATATATATTTTTTTTTTATTTTTTTTTTCTTAACTAGAAAACTTAAGAGAGACTCTAAGCCTTGTGAGGAATCAGTGGAAGAAACAGATTTATTGTTACAACAGAAAGAAGAAGAAGTATGCTTATTTTTTATCATTTAGATACTAAAACCACATCAATGTTGAGTTTTTTGTGAATTAACGCTAAATTACATGTAAAAGATAGGCATATAAAGAAGATTATTTTTAGAAAAGGCCAAAGTAAACGATTGATTTGTGTGTAACTACAATATCATTCTTGGGTACAATATGCAGTATCAAAATTTATTTACAATCTTTAGACTAGTCCTAAAGAAACCTAATTATGTCGTTTTGTTTCAATATTGAATTATATTGTTATGAAGTAAGATATTGGTACTTCCAATGATAAAATAAAAAAAACGTAGTGATTTTTGAATCATGTTTTTGTTGCTTTGAGTCAAATACAACCTTAATAAGTTGCAAGCATTGTTTGTAAATCTGTGAATATATCTGAAATGTTTGCGGAAAGTTAAAAGTTGTTGAAATTATAATTCAGAATAACTGAAGTTAAGAGAGAGAACTTTGATATTGATATATAACATGTCTTTAAGAAAATAATTTAGTAATTTTTAGCTGACTAGCAATAAGTAACTTAATTTTTCTGTAAAAACAATCAAATGTATTGAATATACGGTTTATGTGCGTGTTTGTTGTTCCAGATCCGGCGAATGCAGGACATGTTGAATCAAATGCACCAAAAACTGAAAGCTGCAGGTAGAGATAGTAGCGAAAATGGCACTGATTCTGATAACAGGAAAGACAGAGAGAGTGTGGATCTTTAAGTTATTTTATTGTCCCCCAGATGGCGATAAACTCATTGTATAAGTTAACTAATCTGAAAGCAGATGAATTATATCCACAGTTCCAGGGATGTTATTCTGAAAGACATATATCATAATTAAAAAAAAGTATGTTATTTTTATAATGTTTTTTTAAAAAAAAAGGATTTCATTTGAAAATATTTCACGTTTAATTATTGTTATGATTATTTATAGACCATAAATGCAAGGCGAAAAATAATAATTAAATAAAAAAAAAAGATCACAATGATGAAAGAAGTAATAATCTTTTTTATTATTTAATAAAATATTTTAATCCAATTGGTTTTATATAGGTGTTACTTAATTTTCTGTAATTAACAAAAGAAAATCGATGTAAAAAATGTTATTTGTCAAGTGTTTTAGTTGATGTACATTTTTCGTTTGCTACAAGATGCACCTAGTTTCAGCGCATAATAAAAATGTATTGTACACATAATTAGCCGTAGTATTCAGTAAACATCAATTTCGGTATCGTTTGACAGTCTTATATCGTGTAATGTAATCTTTGGCAAGTATTTATTGTTAAAAAGATTAGTATTATTTTTGTTTGTTGTGAAAGAAAATTCGAAATGTATCAAGTCACGCGTAAATAATAATAATAAGGTTACCAATAACGTGTAGTTGTTGGTGGGGTTTATGTGTGTGTGAAGGCTAATTTCGGTGAACTCTTAACCATTTTGCTTTATTATCGATTATCGGAAATTACGTACTATATAAGTTTTATAACTTAATGTTAATAAACAACCATTTGTTACAGTTGAAACATTTTAAATGTATTAGTTTTGAAGATTTTTTTAAGAAATTGAAATTCGTTTATGTAACTGAAAAGCGAAATAATACCCACCGCATAGCTGCGGGAACCTGGAGACCATGCTTTTGAAATTCAACGTATTTTATCAGATGTAGTTTTCCATATATTAAGAATAGTGGATGAGGTGTCTGATACGTTATTTCACATCACGTTGCCTCTTATTCCTACCAACTTGAAAACAAAACTAAGACAACTTATAATTAAGTGGGTTCTATATGATGCGCATTTTGTTTAAATTTCGTGATGCTTTAGAATATAAATAAATGTTCATTTATTACAATTTTGTGTGAAGCTTGTATGATAATTGGCTAGAACTTGTTAACGAGTAATTTAAATTAATTAATTAGTACAACCATTAATACATTAATGTCGATAGCCTATAACATTTAGTTATTCACAGATAATACTGTTTATTAGAACTTCCAATGGTTTTCTATGAAAATTGGAAATTGTGGCATTTGTATATAGGTTTTGTATTTCTGACTTGTTTGTTTTTTGTAACTAAAAGTTTATACCTGATGTCAAATCATAACAACTTTGCTTACATATTTCGTAAACTTAGGTTTGTGAAATAACTTTTTTTAACTATTTTGAAATCATCATCGTCATATGTCCACATTTCGAAATTTGTAATTTTGTAAGACTTTCCCGGAGGGGTGGGGAATTTTTAAATAACGAATATCTCCCCACAAGAATAATTTTCAGATTAGTCCGCTAGACCATATGGTAAAAGTGTACTTGTTTACATTGGAACTGGTGTTTAACTGAAAACGTAATAACCTAAAATCCCACTACTACGACTTGAAATCATATTTATATAATAAAAGAAGTCCGTAGTCTATTTAGAGTACAGTTGGGTGATCTAAACATTGTTCATATTAAAAAATTTACTGTTTATCTCAATATAATGTTTTCAAATATTATTTTACTGAATTGTATCTAATTGTAAATATTTAATATAATGAAATTTGCTACGCTAATAAATTAGTTTTTATTGGCCAGTTAAGTTACTATAGAAACCTTGTGGAATGAACACGTAAGTCAATTAAACAAATGTTTAAGGCAATAATATATTTCTTTTAATATATTTTTTTTGTTAAAAAAATAAATTGAAACTACACTTTCTGACAGAGAAGGAATAATTTAATCATATGATGTTAAAAAGTATCGTATATAGCCGAATTTAGCATTTTTTTAAACTTTGGATTAAGTCTTATGTCACGAGTTTGAAGCAAGTAAATGATAACGTCCCTTGTTTCTTATAATAACATAAACATGATTTATTGTAGGTACTTATCTACTTAAGTTTCTTAAATCAATGTATAAATAACAGACTGTTGCTTCTATAGTATGACTCGGTATGGATGAATGTAACCTAGCAGTAGTTAGTACAAAGTAGGCCTAACGCGGCATTGGTAAGTGAAGTAAATGTATAATGTAAGTCCAATCAAAACAGAGTAGATCTGTATCATAAACATGGTAAATGGCAAACGAACACTTTGAACGTGCACGACGTGCTTCCGGCAGAGATGGTGGCACTATAAATTAACCCTTCGTTTGCGGCTTGTGTAAATCTGCCTGCCACACCATGCACAAAGATTTGCGAATTTTTGCGGCGGGCCATTCAAAATGTTGCGCGCAAAATGCTTGCATCATATGATGTCAACAGCAGTCGAAGGGTTAATCAATGCATTAGCTTGGGGGGGGGGCATTTCAGGGGGCCCATCCCTTCAATAGCGCCTACTCTGGACTCGTCTAAAATATTCAAACAGTTAATACAGCTTGGTGCACATGGGTGTAAGGAAACGATTCCAGGAAGCTTCAGTTTATTAGTTCGTTAGCAGTTATATATATTAATATATATATATATATATATATGTATAATAAAAATACCCGTATGTGCGAAGTACAAATTAGTGAAACCAGTAAAAGTATTGATATTGCAGCAAATGCTAAAATACGCTTCAAAATTTATCAGTGGATATACAAAATGTGGTTTTTAAGTTTCAAGCATCCTAATTAAAGATAGTGAGCCTCTACCTCGAAGGTAACGTTATAGTGAAAAGAAATCGATACACCTATGATTATAAAATACATTTGTTTTACACAGAGTTTCACTTTTATATTTATATAGAAATTATCTCGCGTCAATAATGTTATTTATTACCTTGTTGAAATGTGATCTGAATGAAATTCGAGTTAACATCACAATGTGTTTTAGCGCAAAACCACACAGTAAACTGTCTGCACTCTGACTACCGCGGTGAATCGAACCCTGTATTTTAGCGTTGTGAGTTCATAAACTTACCGCAGGATCCTAATCTGAGGGAGCCTGATCGAGAATAGTTTCAGATGTATTACCAAGGGCACCGATAGATCAGATGAGATATTTGCCCTACCGATAATTTGGCAGGTGGAGTTTTTACATAGGATTCTTTTGAATATTTTTGTTACTGAACGATGTTATGCCCTCTCAATATTACCTAACGGTCAAATATTTCTACTGTTAGATTAGTCTTAAGCCAAGTGATGGCGGTGTGGCTGGTATTGCAAACACTGATGTGAACGTAATAAACCTAAAAACTGTATGAATTAAAACACATGTATAATACTTATCCACTTGGTAACCATACAAAGACATATTTCTGGACGTAACAAATATCAATGGTTTCAACTTACCATATTTTTTTGCTAGGTGATTCCATTGCAAATGGTGATAAATAGCGAGCAAGCACGTTTATTTTAGGAATGTAATAGTGCACTATCATCATGGTTTAGGGTTTTTGAATCTTGTTTTGTGGTAGCCCTGCTGTCTATCCCTAAAATTAGTAAAAAGTTTAAAAGTAAATTAGTAAATTATTACCCCTGTACTTGTTGTCAAAGGAAGTATTTATTGTATTATGATTCCCTGCCACTACTTGATTACGGCGTCTCAGATAACTTCACAGTGAACATGTTTTAAGCATAAGGTGAAGTTTGGTTTATGTTTTAAATTTTCAGATCTGATCAGAGGCGTCGCTAGGCACTGGCACACGGGGCTTTTCCTCCATTCTATTTGACAGTGCCCCATCTTTTAAAATTACAATAGAAAATCACGATCGATATCATACGGAAACGCCGAAAATTCCCGAGTCTTTTAAGCACCTAGCTACGCCTTTGGATCTTTTGAAATTTCTTGATTGAGATATTATCACAATCTGGGAACAGGTTAAGGCAGAGTTAAAACTGTGATGATATCGGTATAGGAATTGTTCAGACTAGTTTCAGCAAAGTGCATGATTAGAAATATAAATGAATGTGACTGTAAAATTTAAGATACTTTTAAAGCAAATTTTGAAATCGAGTATCAGATTGAAATCATTAGTTTTTATCATTGTCTTTATACTGTATTTATTTTGCAGTTTTGTATCAAGAAATAAACTGGTTGACTTAAATGTAGCTTAAATTGTGTCTATGTTTAGGAAGAAACACCACAAAAAGTTGGGTATTTTAAGACAATTTTTCAACATCTTACAAATTTAAACAACTCTAGAATTAATGTAATATAAATCCTCCTATTTTTTGGATGGATCTTTTGAGGATCCTATTTGCTATATTTAGAACGGGACTTGAATAGAATTTGTAAAACATATTAATTCAATCAGTCCTACCATCAGACTTACATTAGTGATGGAAAAAGAGGGTCAGCTAAATTTTTTAGATATGGCCGTCAAACGGAATAGACGACTCTCAAATTCTGTTTATAGAAAGTTATTTTCTGTAGCAGTACCACCACACAATAATAGATCGTGTCACCCATAGACACAAAAACTATCCGCCTTTTCCACATTTGTATTTAGAGCCTTTAAAATATGCACTTATGATTGTTATGTGAAAGTTAAATGACAAAAAAGTGGGTGTCTATTTACTTGTGACCACTCGGTGTATTACCTGTGTTTCAAAAATGCTATATATAATATACAACAATGAGTTGCAAACCATGAATTGTCTGATTCATATTCTGGTTATGCTAACCGATAGGCCATGCCTCATTTATTAAAAGAAACATGTTACAAAACGTGTTAAGATAGAGGAAAGGAAAGCTGTGTCAAGAAGACATTCTCCGTTGTTTAGATAAAGAGAATAACATTTAGTGTAAAAGTATAAAGATATGAAAACGCTGAGAAGGGAAGTGAAACACTATGGTTACTGATCATACTTATATATATTGTTTTATGACGTGGCTTATATGTTTAAATCGAGTAGGTAAGAAAAGAGAAAGCGAGTTTTTCCATAATTGTTGCTAATGTAATACAGATTTTTATAAAATTAAATACATCTCTATAGAACTTTTATATACGGTGAAAACTTCTTTACAGAGGCACTGACCTTTAATCTTTACACCATCAGTGTGTAGGCTGAAAGAAATAAATAAAGTATGACATATCCTTGTGGCAATCACGTGCTTGGG